GAGGAGCTGGGGAAACACTGGGAGTTCATTGAGGGCAACTGGGATGGACTGGGAGGCACTGGGAAGAAATTGGGAGGGACTGGGAGTTACTGGGAAGAAATTGGGAGTGATTGGGATGGACTGGGAGTTACTGGGAGGCACTGGGAGTTACTGGTTTCTACTGGGAGGATGTTGTAGTTCCCAAAAATGCTACCAGGAGGAGCTGGGGAAACACTGGGAGTTCATTGAGGGCAACTGGGATGGACTGGGATCAACTGGGATGGACTGGGAGGCACTGGGATGGACTGGGAGGCACTGGGATGGACTGGGATAAACTGGGAGGGAACTGGGAGGGATTGGGTTGGACTTGGATGGACTGGGATAAACTGGGAGTTACTGGGAGGGCACTGGGTTACACCTACAGCCTGGCCAGGAACCAGACCCTGCGGCTGGCCGTGGTGGAGAAAGGTGCTGGGATAAACTGGGATAAACTGGGAAGAAATTGGGAGGCACTGGGAGCAACTGGGAGTTACTGGGAGTTACTTATAGGATGTTGTAGTTCCCAAAAATGCCACCAGGAGGAGCTGGGGAAACACTGGGAGTTGATTGAGAAAATTGGGATGGACTGGGATAAACTGGGAGGGGACTGGGATGGACTGGGATGGACTGGGAAAGACTAGGAGGGAACTGGGATGGACTGGGAGTGACTGGGATCAACTGGGAAGAAATTGGGAAGGACTGGGAGTTACTGGGAGGAGGTTGTAGTTCCCAAAGACGCCACCAGGAGGAGCTGGGGAAACACTGGGAGTTCATTGAGGGGACTGGGATGGGACTGGGATGGACTGGGATGGACTGGGAGGCACTAGGAGGGAACTGGGAGTTACTGGGAGGCACTGGGATCAACTGGGATAAACTGGGAGGGACTGGGAGTCATTGGGATGGACTGGGAGGGGACTGGGATTAACTGGGAGGGAATGGGATAAACTGGGAGTTACTGGGAGTTATTGGGAGGAGGTTGTAGTTCCCAAAGACGCCACCAGGAGGAGCTGGGGAAACATTGGGAGTTGATTGAGGGCAACTGGGATGGACTGGGAGGGACTGGGAGGGACTGGGATAAACTGGGAGTTACTGGGAGGGACTGGGATAAACTGGGAAGAAATTGGGAGGGACTGGGATAAACTGGGAGGATGTTGCAGTTCCCAAAGACGCCACCAGGAGGAGCTGGAGAAACACTGGGAGTTGATTGAGGGCAACTGGGATGGACTGGGAGGGAACTGGGTTATACTGGGAGTCACTGGAAGGGAACTGGGAGGGACTGGGATGGACTAGGAGGGAATTGGGAGTTACTGGGAGGCACTGGGAGGGATTGGGATGGACTGGGAGGGAACTGGGAGTTACTGGGAGGGACTGGGAGTTACTGGGAGTTACTGGGAGGGCACTGGGTTACACCTACAGCCTGGCCAGGAACCAGACCCTGAGGCTGGCCGTGGTGGAGAAAGGTGCTGGGACAAACTGGGAGGCACTGGGAGGCACTGGGATGGACTGGAATAAACTGGGATGGACTGGGAGGGGACTGGGATATACTGGGAGGGACTGGGAGGCACTGGGAGAAACTGGGAGGCACTGGGATAAACTGGGAGTTACTGGGAGGATGTTGTAGTTCCCAAAAATGCCACCAGGAGGAGCTGAGGAAACACTACGAGTTTATTGAGGGCAACTGGGATGGACTGGGATGGACTGGGAGGCACTGGGAGGGACTGGGAGGCACTGGGAGGGAATTGGGAGTTACTGGGAGGCACTGGGAGGGATTGGGATAGACTGGGAGTTAATGGGAGGGACTGGGAGTCACTGGGAGGGCACTGGGTTACACCTACAGCCTGGCCAGGAACCAGACCCTGCGGCTGGCCGTGGTGGAGAAAGGTGCTGGGGGGCACTGGGATAAACTGGGAGTTACTGGGATTAACTGGGAGTTACTGGGAGTTAATGGGAGTTACCGGGAGTTAATGGGAGGATGTTGTAGTTCCGAAAGACGCCACCAGGAGGAGCTGGGGAAACACTGGGAGTTCATTGAGGGCAACTGGGATGGACTGGGAGGGACTGGGAGGGGACTGGGATAGACTGGGATGGACTGGGAGGCACTGGGATGGACTGTGAGGGAACTGGGATTGACTGGGAGGCACTGGGATCAACTGGGAGTTACTGGGAGGGACTGGGAATTACTGGTTTGTACTGGGAGGATGTTGTAGTTCCGAAAGATGCTACCAGGAGGAGCTGCGGAAACACTATGAGTTCATTGAGGGCAACTGGGATGGACTGGGAGTTACTGGGATGGACTGGGATGGACTGGGAGGGAATTGGGAGTTACTGGGATAAACTGGGAGTTACTGGGAAGAAATTGGGAGGGACTGGGAGTTACTGGGAGACACTGGGAGGACACTGCAGTTCCCAAAAATGCCACCAGGAGGAGCTGGGGAAACACTGGGAGTTGATTGAGGGCAACTGGGATGGACTGGGAGGCACTGGGAGGGAATTGGGAGTTACTGGGAGGCACTGGGAGGGATTGGGATGGACTGGGATAAACTGGGAGTTACTGGGATAAACTGGGATTAACTGGGAGTTACTGGGAGTTACTGGGAGGATGCTGTAGTTCCCAAAAACGCCACCAGGAGGAGCTGAGGAAACATTGGGAGTTCATTGAGGGGACTGGGAGGGGACTGGGGTAAACTGGGATGGACTGGGAGGCACTGGGATGGACTGGGAGGATGTTGTAGTTCCCAAAGACGCCACCAGGAGGAGGTGGGGAAACACTGCGAGTTCATTGAGGGCAACTGGGATGGACTGGGAGTTACTGGGATGGACTGGGAGGGACTGGGAGGGATTTGAGGGGATTTTTCCTGGATTTTTGGGGGAGATATTTGGGATTTTTGGAGGATTTTTAGGGGAGATTTTGGGGAATTTTTAAGGGGATTTTTCTGGGATTTTTTAGGGTTTTATTGGTGGATTTCTTAGCAGAGACTTTGGGGAAATTTGGGCTTTTTTGGGATGGATTTAAGGGAATTTTTCCCACATTTTTTCAGGATTTTTTTTGTGGATTTTGAGGGAATTTTTTTGGTGGATTTTGGGGGGATTTTTTTGGGGATTTTTGGGGGGATTTTTTTGTGGAATTTTTTCAGGTGTTTGTTTTTTTTTTTAAATTTCTTTCAGGAATTTTTTTTTTTTAGAATTTTCGGGATTTTTTAGGGATTTTTTTTTTTTAAAATTTCTTTCAGGACTTTTTTTTTTTTTGAGAATTTTCTGGATTTTTGGGGCGCTTTTTTTTTTTTTTTTGGGGGGAGGAATTTTTTTTTGGGTGTTTCCCGGTTGGGATTTGAGGCGATTTAGGGTGAAATTTTTTACCAGATTTTTAGGGGAGATTTTTCCAGGATTTTTGTTTTTCTTTTTTTTTTCGGGGCTGGGATATTTTGGGGATAATTTTTTTTTTTTGGGGGAGGGATTTTTTTGGCTGTTTCCCGGTTGAGATTTGAGGCGATTTGGGGGGAATTTTTACCAGATTTTTTAGGGGATTTTTCCAGGATTTTTTTTTGTTTTGTTTTTTTTTTGGGGGGGCGGAATTTTTTGGGGATATTTTTTTTTTTTGGGAGGGATTTTTTTGGGTGTTTCCCAGTTGAGATTTGAGACGATTTAGGGCAAAATTTTTTACCGGATTTTTTTGGGGAGATTTTTCCAGGATTTATTTTTCTTTTTTCGGGGCTGGGATATTTTGGGGCTTTTTTTTTTTAGGGAGGGATTTTTTTGGCTGTTTCCTAGTTAGGATTTGAGACGATTTTAGGGCAGAATTTTTTACCAGATTTTTTTGGGGAGATTTTTCCAGGATTTTTTTTTCTTTTTTTTTTGAGGGGTGGGATTTTTTTGGGGCTTTTTTTTTTTGGGGGGGAAGGATTTTTTTGGGTGTTTCCCGGTTGAGATTTGAGGCGATTTGGGGTGAAAATTTTTTACCAGATTTTTTGGGGATATTTCCAGGATTTGTTTTTCCTTTTTTTTTTTGGGGCTGGGATATTTTGGGGATTATTTTTTTTTTTTGGGAGGGATTTTTTTGGGTGTTTCCTTGTTGAGATTTGAGGCGATTTGGGGAGAAAATTTTTACCAGATTTTTTTGGGGGGATTTTTCCAGGATTTTTTTTTCCTTTTTTTTTTCGGGGCTGGGATATTTTGGGGATAATTTTTTTTTTTGGAAGGATTTTTTTGGCTGTTTCCCAGTTGAGATTTGAGGCAATTTGGGTGAAAATTTTTTATGGGATTTTTTTGGGGAGATTTTTCCAGGATGTTTTTTTTCTTTTTTATTTTGGGGGGCGGGATAATTTGGGGATAGTTTATTTTTTTTTGGGAGGAATTTTTTTGGCTGTTTCCCAGTTGAGATTTGAGGCGATTAGGGTGAAATTTTTTACCGGATTTTTTTGGGGGGATTTTTCCAGGATTTTTTTTTCTTTTTTATTTTGGGGCTGGGATAATTTGGGGATAGTTTATTTTTTTTTGGGAGAGATTTTTTTGGGTGTTTCCCAGTTAGGATTTTAGGCGATTTGGGGGGAAATTTTTTACCAGATTTTTTAGGGGATTTTTCCTTTTTTTTAGGGGATTTTTCCTTTTTTTTTGTTTTTTTTTGGGGAGGGATTTTTTTGGGTGTTTCCTGGTTGAGATTTGAGGCGATTCGGGTGAAAATTTTTTACCGGATTTTTTTGGGGAGATTTTTCCAGGATTTATTTTTCTTTTTTTTTGGGGGGGGGGGGGATTTTTCCAGGATTTTTTATTTTTGGGGGGGATGGGATTTTTTGAGGCTTTTTTTTTTATTTGAGAGGAATTTTTTTGAGTGTTTCCCGGTTGAGATTTGAGGCAATTTGGGGTGAATTTTTACCAGATTTTTTGGGGGAAATTTTTTTTTTTTGTGGGTGAGAATTTTTTTCCAGGATTTTTTTTTGGGAATTATTTTTTTTGGGGTGATTCCCGCGTGTTTTGTCCCTCCTCAGCGCGTCGGGACCTGGCGTCCATCGTCTCCGAGATCCTGATGTACGTGCTGATCGTGGTGCTGACGCTCTGGCTCGCCGCCGAGATGCTCTACTGCTACCGAAAAGTGGCGGCCGCGGCCCCGCCCCCCGACAGCGCGTGAGTGGGCGGGGCCTAACTGGGCGTGGCAAAAAAATTTCGGGTCAAAACGGCCAAAAAACGGCGAAAACGCGACGAAAAACGGGGAAATAAGGGGTTAAAAATGGCGGAGTGGGCGTGGCTTAAAGGGTGTGGGCGTGGCTTAAACAGTGGGCGTGGCTTGGGTTGGGTGTGGCCTGGAGGGGGCGTGGCTTAATTTGGAAATGAGGGTTGTGAGATTTGGGGTGAAAAATTGAAAAATTGGGGTAAAAACTGGGAAAATTGGGGAAAAACGGGGTTTAAATGGCGGAAAGGGGCGTGGCTTAAAGGGTGTGGGCGTGGCTTGGGTTGGGTGTGGTCAGAGGGGGCGTGGCTAAATTTTTGTGATGGATAAAAGTGAAAATTGGGGTGAAAAGTGGAAAATTAGGATAAAAATGGGAAAATTGGGGTAAAAATGGGAAAATTGGGGGAAAAAAATGGTTAAAATGGCGGAAAGGGGCGTGGCTTTGGTTGGGTATGGCCTAAAGGGGCGTGGCTTAATTTGGAAATAAGGGTTGTGAGATTTGGGGTAAAAAAAGCAAAAATTTGGGTAAAAAAGGGGAAATTTGAAGGTTAAAATGGCGGAGTGGGCGTGGCTTAAGGGATGTGGGCGTGGCTTGGGTGGGTGTGGCCTGAAGGGGGCGTGGCTTAATATTGGGGTGAGGGTTGTGAGATTTGGGGTGAAAAGTGGAAAAATTGGGGTAAAAATGGGAAAATTGGGGACAAAAATGGGAAAATTGGGAAAAAACGGGGTTAAAATGGCGGAAAGGGGCGTGGCTTAAAGGGTGTGGGCGTGGCTTGGGTTGGGTGTGGCCTGAAGGGGGCGTGGCTTAATTTCAGGGTGAGGGTTGTGAGATTTGGGGTGAAAAATGGAAAAATTGGGGACAAAAATGGGAAAATTGGGAGAAAAACCGGGTTAAAATGGCGGAAAGGGGCGTGGCTTAAAGGGGTGTGGGCGTGGCTTGGGTTGGGTGTGGCCTGAAAGGGGCGTGGCTTAATTTCGGGGTGAGGTTTGTGAAATTTGGGGCAAAAAAAGCAAAAATTGGGGCAAAAAAGGGAAAATTTGAAGGTTAAAATGGCGGAAAGGGGCGTGGCTTAAAGGGTGTGGGCGTGGCTTGGGTTGGGTGTGGCCTTAAGGGGGCGTGGCTCAATTTGGGGGTGGTGGTGTGCGAAATTTGGGGCGAAAAATGCAAAAATTGGGGTAAAAAAGGGAAAATTTGAAGGTGAAAATGGCGGAGTGGGCGTGGCTTAAAGGGTGTGGGCGTGGCTTGGGTTGGGTGTGGCCTGAAAGGGGGCGTGGCTTAATTTTGGTGATAAAGGAAGGTAAAAATTGGTGTGAAAAACAGAAAATTAGGGTAAAAAACTAAAAATTTGGGAGAAAAATAGGTTTAAAATGGCGGAAAGGGGCGTGGCTCAAAGGGAGTGGGCGTGGCTTAAAGGGAGTGGGCGTGGCTTGGGATGGGAGTGGCCTGAAGGGGCGAGGCTTAATTTGGAAATAAGGGTTGTTAAATTTGGGGTAAAAGAAGCAAAAATTGGGGTAAAAAAATGGAAATTTGGGGGTTAAAATGGCAGAAAGGGGCGTGGCTTAAAGGGAGTGGGCGTGGCTTGTGTTGGGTGTGGTCGGAGGGGGCGTGGCTTAATTTTGGTGATGGAGGAAAGTAAAAATTGGGGTGAAAAAGGGAAAATTGGGGTAAAAATGGGAAAATTGGGGACAAAAATGGGAAAATTGGGAGAAAAATTGATTTTAAATGGCGGAAAGGGGGCGTGGCTTAAAGGGAGTGGGCGTGGCTTAAGTTGGGTGTGGCCTGAAGGGGGCGTGGCTCAATTTGGGGGTGAAATTTGGGGCGGAAAAAAGCAAAAATTGGGGGAAAAAAGGGGAAATTTGGGGGTTAAAATGGCAGAAAGGGGCGTGGCTTAAAGGGAGTGGGCGTGGCTTAAATTGGGTGTGGTCGGATGGGGCGTGGCCAGAGGGGCGTGGCCCCGCCCCCAGCCCATTTTGGCCCCTCCCCCCAGCTCGGAGTACCTGGCGATCACCTCGGAGAGCAAAGAGAACGGCGGGCAGGTGGCGGAGTGACCTTTGACCCCTGAGTGACCCCTGAGTGACCCCTGAGTGACCCCTGAGTGACCCCTGAGTGACCAGTGAGTGACCCCTGAGTGACCCCTGTCCCCTGAGTGACCCCGAGTGACCCTGAGTGACTCTGAGTGACCCCTGAGTGACCCCTGACCAGTGAGTGACCCCTGAGTGACCCCGAGTGACCTCTGTCCCCTGAGTGACCCCTGACCCCTGACTGACCAGTGAGTGACCCCAAGTGACCCCGAGTGACCCCTGAGTGACCCCTGACCAGTGAGTGACCCCTGAGTGACCCCAAGTGACCCCTGTCCCCTGAATGACCCTGAGTGACCCTGAGTGACTGAGTGACCCCTGAGTGACCTCGAGTGACCCCTGAGTGACCCTGAGTGACCAATGAGTGACCCCTGACCCCTGGGTGACCCCTGAGTGACCCTTGACCCCTGAGTGACCCTTGACCCCTGAGTGACCAGTGAGTGACCCTGAGTGACTGAGTGACCCTGAGTGACCCCTGACCCCTGACTGACCCCTGAGTGACCCCGAGTGACCCCTGAGTGACCCGGAGTGACCTCTGACCCCTGATTGACCCCAGCCCCCCCCTGCAATAACCCCCCGGGGGGGACTCCCCCGACCCCTCCCCCACCCCCAAAAAATTTGGGGAAAAAAAAAATCCCAAAAATTTGGGGAAAATTTGTCAAAAGTTCGGGAGGAAAATAAAAAATGTCCAAAATTTGAGGAAAAATCCCAAAAAATTTTGGGGAAAAATTTGTGAAATTTGAGGGAAAAATCACAAAAATTTGAGGGAAAAAAAATCAGAAAAATTTTAAGAGGAAAAAAAAAAAAAAATCTTAAAAATTTGAGGGAATATTCCAAAAATTTTGGGGGAAAAGTCCTGAAATTTGAGGGGAAAAATCACAAAAATTTGAGGGGAAAAAAATCTTCAAAATTTGAGGAGGAACAAAAAAAAAAAAATCTCAAAAATTTGGGGGAAATTTCCAAGATTTTAGGGAAAAACTTCCCCAAAAAATTGGGAAATAAACATAAAAAAACTTTGAGGAAAATAATCTCCAAAACTTGGGGAAATGTTTCTAAATATTTGGGGAAAATTTCCAAAATATTTTTTGAAAAATACCAAAAATTTGAGGGAAAAATTCTCAAAATTTAGGGAAAAATCCCAAAAATTTAAGAAAAAAAATCCAAAATATTGGAGGGAAAAATTCCCAAAATATTGATGTAAAAAAATCTCAAATTTAGGGGGAAAATTCCCAAAAATTTAAGAACAAAAAATCCCAAAAATTTGAGGGAAAAACTACCAAAATATTAATGTAAAAAAATCTAAAATTTAGGGGAATAAAATTCCAAAATTTGAGGAAGAAATCCCAAAAAAATTGAGAGAAAAAGTCTGAAAAATCCCCCCAAAAAAAATTCTCAAAATTTGAGGAAAAATCCCAAAAATTTTTTGATAAAATCCCCAAAATTTTAGGGAAAAATCCCAAAGATTTTGGGGAAAACATCCCAAAATTTGGGGGAAATGTCCCAAAATTTGGGCCAAAATTCCTTCAAAATTCGGGAGGAAATTTTCAAAATTTATTCAAAATAATCCCAAAATTTGGGGTTTATTTCCCCAAAAATCGTGATAAAATCCCCCAAAATTTAGGGAAAAAAAATTCCCAAAATTTCACAGAAAATTCCCCAAAATTTGAGGGGAAAATTCCCAAATTTGGGACAAAAAAAATCCCCAAATTTTTGTCAGAAATCCCCAAAATTTGGGATAAAATTCCCCAAATTTGGGTCCCCCCCCCCCCCCCCCCCGTGTGATTGTGTGTGCATGCAAATGAGCTGTATGCAAATGAGATATTTAAATGAGCAATACGTAAACGAGACGGGAGGACAAGCGACTCGACAGCACTTTATGCAAATGAGGGGGCGTGGCAATACATATGTTGGTTATATGCAAATGAGGGGTGTGTAAATATATGTAAATGAGATTATATTCAAATGAGAATGTTGCCATGTTGTTGATATGCAAATGAGATGGCGACGAGCGAGAATTGTAACCGCGGGTAAATTAATATGTAAATGAGCTGTAAATAAGCAAGCGTTATGCAAATGAGCACCGACACAGCCGCACAAATGCACATCTCACTGAATCGTGATATGCAAATGAACATGCAAATGAGGCGGGGCATGCGAACGAGCGCCGAGCACCGTATGCAAATGAGCACCGCCGTGTCAACACATCGCTGTATGCAAATGAGCGCCCGTATGCAAATGAGTGCCATAATTAACGGATTAATTGTGCCAAGCCCCGATATGTAAATGAACATGCAAATGAACATGCAAATCAGCTGGACTGCCGTGCCTCGACTCCTTATTAGGGGAGGGTCGCCGATATGCAAATAAACTTATGCTAATGAGGGTTATGCAAATAGAAAAGTGGGGTGATATATGCAAATTAGCTGTATGCAAATTAGGTGGATGACATCATCGGGACGGGTCCGGGGCCGATTTTGGGGAGAAATTCCCAAATTTTGGGGCTCAATTCCTGAATTTTGGGTCCTATCCCTGAATTTTTGGGTCCCATTCCCAAATTTTGGGGTCAAATTCCCAAATTTTGGGGTCAAATTCCTGAATTTTGGGGTCCAGAATCCAAATTTTGGGGTCAAAATCCCAAATTTTGGGATTTAGGAGCAGATTTGGGGCTAAATCCCAGAATTTTGGCGTTAAATTCCCAAATTTTGGGGGTTAAATCCCAAATTTTGGGTTTTCTGGGCTGATTTTGGGGTCCCATTCCCAAATTTTGGGTTCCAGAATCCAAATTTTGGGTCTTAATCCCAAATTTTAGGGTCCAGAGCCGGATTTTGGGGATCGATGACGTCACTGGGGGGGTCGGATGTGGATTTTGGGGTCAAATTCCCAAATTTTGGGTCCCATCCCTGAATTTTTGGGTCCCATTCCCAAATTTTGGGGTCAAATTCCCAAATTTTTGGGTCCAGGCCCTGAATTTTGGGGTTCTGGGCCCAAATTTGGGGATTTAGGAGCATATTTGGGGCTAATTCCCAGAATTTTGGGGTCAAATTCCCAAATTTCAAGGTCCAGGTCCCAAATTTGGGGTCAAATTCCTAAATTTTGGGGTCCAGAATGCGAATTTGGGGCTCAATTCCCGAATTTTGGGTCCCGTTCCCAAATTTTGGGGTCCAGAAACCGAATTTTGGGGTTAAATCCCCCAATTTTCAGGTCCCATTCCCAAATTTTGGGGTCAAATTCCCAAATATTGGGGTTCAGTTCCCAAATTTCGTGTCCAGTTCCCCAATTTTGGGCTCCAGAACCCGAATTTTGGGCTTTAATCCCAATTTTGGGGTTTTAATGCCGAATTTTGGGGTTTTAATGCCGAATTTTGGGGGTTTAATCCCGAATTTTGGGTTTTAATCCCGAATTTTGGGCCACCTAACCTGAATTTCATGTCCCATTCCCATATTTTGGGCTCAAATTCCCGAATTTTGGCTTCCATTCCCAAATTTTGGGGGTTCAGTTCCCAAATTTCGTGTCCCAATCCTGAATTTTGGGGTTTCCTTCCCCAATTTTGGGCTTCAGTTCCCGAATTTTGGGGTTTTAATTCTGAATTTTGGGTTTAAATCCTGAATTTTGGGGTTTAATCCCCAAATTTAGGGGTTTTATCCCGAATTTTGGGGTTCAGTTCCCAAATTTCGTGTCCCCTTCCCCAACTTTGGGCTTCAGAACCCAAATTTTGGGGTAAAATTCCCAAATTTTGGGGTTCAGTTCCCAAAATTCGTGTCCCGCTCCCCAATTTTGGGCTCCAGAACCCGAATTTTGGGATTTTAATTCCCGATTTTGGGGTTTTAATCCCAAATTTTGAGGCTCCAATTCCCAATTTTGGGTTTTTAAACCCGAATTTTGGGGTTTAATCCCGAATTTTGGGTTTAAATCTCGAATTTTGGACTCCAGAACCCGAATTTTGGGGTTTAATTCCCAATTTTGGGGTTTAATCCCCAAATTTGAGGTTTTAATTCTGAATTTTGGGGTTCAGTTCCCAAATTTCGTGTCCCGTTCCCCAATTTTGGGCTCCAGAACCCGAATTTTGGGGTTTAAACCCGAATTTTGGGCTCCAGAACCCGAATTTTGGGGTTTTAAACCCAAATTTTGGGGCTCCAATCCCCAATTTTAGGGTTTTAATCCCCAATTTTGGGCTCCAGAACCCGAATTTTGGGGGTTTAACCCCCAATTTTAGGGTTTCATCCCAAATTTCAGGTCTCCCATCCCAAATTTCGGGCCCCATTCCCAAAACCCCGCCCCCATCCCTGCCCCCCGATGACGTCACCGCCTCTTTGCGGTTTTTGGGGCCGCGCCCCCAAATTTTGGGGTTCGCCTCCAAATTTTGGGGCGCCCCGACCTTAATTAGCGCCTCGATGACGTCATCAACCTCCCCGGCCGGTTTTTGGGGTGCCCGGAGCGATTTTGGGGCTCCCTGACCTCAATTTGGGACTCGATGACGTCATCAACCTCCCGAACCGGTTTTTGGGGTGCCCGGACGAGTTTTGGGGTTTTTTTTAGGATCGGCCCCAATTTTGGGGTTCAATTAAAGGCTTTGGGTTTTTAATTAAAGATTTCGGGGCGCTGATGACGTCACGGGGGTGGGGAGGGAAGCGTTGGGGGTGATGACGTCACCGCACCCCAAAAATGCGGCCCCGCCCCCCCCCCCCAAAATTCCAGAGCGGCCGCGGCCGAATTTGGGGAGAAACTCTCGGGATCAGGCGAGGAAAAATCGGGAATTTTGGGGGGATTTGGGGAATTTGGGGAATTTTGGGGAATTTTGGGGGGGATTTTGGGAAAAATTGGGAGGATTTTGGGGAAATTTGGAGAAATTTTGGGGGGGGGTTGGGGGGATTTTGGGGGGATTTGGGAGGATTTTGAGGGAATTTTGGGGGGATTTTGGGGAATTTTGGGAGGAATTTGGGGAATTTTGGGGGGATTTGGGAATTTTTGGGGAATTTGTGGGGATTTTTTGGGGGATTTGGGATTTTTGGGGAATTTGGGGGGAATTTTGGGAGGATTTTTGGGAGATTTGGGAATTTTAGGGGATTTGGGGGAATTTTGGGGGAATTTCGGTTTATTTTGGGGGAATTTGGGGAAATTTTGGATGAATTTTGAGGGAAAATTGGGGGAATTTGGGGGGAATTTGGAGGAATTTTGGGAAATTTTGGGGGGATTTGGGAATTTTAGGGGATTTGGGGAAAATTTGGGGGAATTTCGGGGGATTTGGGGGAATTTTGGAGGGATTTGGAATTTTGGGGGGATTTGGGGGGAATTGGGGGGAATTTTGGGGGGGATTTTGGGGGGATTTGAGGGGATTTGGGGGGATTTGGGGGGGATTGGGGGGAAATTTTGGTGGATTTTGGGTGAATTTGGGGGAATTTTGGGGGCATTTGGGAATTTTAGGCGATTTGGGGGGATTTTGGGGGGATTTTGGGGATATTTGGGGGAATTTTGGAGAAATTTGGGGGAAAAATTAGGGGAATTTGGGGGGATTTGGGGGATTTTGGGGGGATTTTGGATGAATTTTGGGGGAATTTGGGTTTATTTTGGGTGAATTTGGGTTTATTTTGGGGGAATTTTGGGAGAATTTGTGGGAATTTGGGGAAATTGGGGGTTTTTTTGGAGAAACTTTGGTGGGCTTTTGTGGGGGGAAATTTTGGGTCGATTTGTGGTTGGTTTTGGGAATTTTTGGGGGGATATTTTGTGGGAATTCGGGGAATTTTGGGGGGATTTGGGGGGAATTTTGGGGAGATGTTGTAGGAATTTGGGGAATTTTGTTGGAATTTGGGAGGAAATTCGGATTTTTTGTTATTATTTTCAATATTTTGCTCATTTTTGGGCCATTTTGCCTCATTTGGGACCATTTTTTTGGGGCTAATTTTGGGATAATTTCGGGATAATTTCGGGATAATTTCGAATATTTCTCCCAATGATTTCCGATTGAATTTTTTATTATTTTTTCTCCATTTTTTACCCAATTTCGCCGTTTTTTACCCCATTTTCAGCAGTTTCGGGGCCATGGGGCTCCTCTGCCGCTGCTGCCGCCGTCGGGGTCACGGTCGGGGTCAAGGTCGGGGTCAAGGTCGGGGTCACGCTCGGGGTCACGCTCGGGGTCACTCCAAGTCTCGGCGCCACCCCCGGCCCTGCTCCCCTCCCCCAGCCCAGGTGGGTCCCAAAATTCCCATTTTTTACCCCAAAAATTCCCTTTATTTACCCCAAAATTCCCATTTTTTATGCCCAAAAATTCACATTTTTTATCCCCAAAAATTCTATTTATTTACCCCAAAATTAGCATTTTTTAACCAAAAAAATTCCCTTTATTTACCCCAAAAATTCCCCTTTTTTAGCCCCAAAATTCCCTTTATTTAACTCAAAAAATTCCCATTTTTTTAGCCCAAAATTCCCATTTTTTAGCCCCAAAATTCCCAGTATTTCCCCCCAAAATTCCCATGATTTAACCCCCCAAAATTCCCATATTTTATGCCCAAAAATCCCCTTTTTCCCCAAAAATAATTCCCATTATTTAACCCCCAAAATTCCCATTATTTAACCCCCAAAATTCCCATTATTTAACCCCAAAAATTCCCATTATTTAGCCCCCAAAATTCCCATTTTCCCCCCAAAAATCCCCTTTTTCCCCAAAAATTCCCCCTTTTTAGCCAAAAAAAATTCCCTTTATTTACCCCAAAATTCCCATTTTTTAGCCCCAAAAATTCCCATTTTTAGCCCCAAAAATTCACATTTCTTACCCCCAAAAATTCCCATTTTTTAGCCCAAAATTCCCATTTTTAGCCCCAAAATTCCCATTTTTTAGCCCCAAAAATTCCCATTTTTAAGCCTCAAAAATTCCCATTTTTAGCCCCAAAATTCCCATTTTTTAGCCCCAAAAATTCCCTTTATTTACCCCAAAATTCTAATTTTTATCCCCAAAAATTCCCATATTTTTACCCCCAAAATTCCCTTTATTTAACCCCAAAATTCCCATTATTTAACCCCCAAAATCTCTTTTTTCCCCCCCAAAATTCCCATGATTTAACCTCAAAAATTCCCTTTATTTACCCCAAAAATTCCCTTTTTTTACCCCCAAAATTCCCATTTTTTATCCCCAAAAATTCCCCTTTTTTACCCCAAAAAATTCCCATTTTTTATCCCCAAAAATTCCCTTTATTTACCCCAAAATTCCCATTTTTTAACCCCAAAATTCCCATTTTTTACCCCAAAAATCCCCTTTTTCCCCAAAAAAATCAACATTTTTTATCCCCCAAAATTCCCATTTTTTATGCCCTGAAAATTCCCTTTTACCCCCCAAAATTCCCATATTTTATGCCCAAAAATTCCCATTTTTATACCCCAAAATTCCCATTTTTTAGCCCAAAAATTCCCATTATTTAACCCCTCCAAAATCCCCTTTTCCCCCCTAAAATTCCCATTTTTTTACCCCCAAAAATTCCCATTTTTTATCCCCCAAAAATCCCAGTATTTAACCCCCAAATTCCCATTTTTTAGCCCCAAAAATTCCCTTTATTTACCCCAAAAATTCCCATTATTTAACCCCCAAATTCCCACTTTTTATCCCCAAAAATTCCCATTTTTAGCCCCAAAAATTCCCATTATTTAACCCCCCAAAATCCCCTTTTTCCCCAAAAAAATTCCCGTTATTTAACCTCTAAAATTCCCATTGTTTTCCCCCAAAATTCCCTTTATTTACCCAAAAATTCCCATTTTTTAACCCCAAAATTCCCATTATTTAACCCCCAAAAATCCCATTTCCCCCAAAAAAAGTTCCCATTATTTATCCCCCAAAATTCCCATTATTTCCCCCAAAAAAATTCCCATATTCCCCCCTAAAATTCCCATTATTTAACCCTCAAAATTCCCATTATTTAACCCCCCAAAATCCCCTTTTTCCCCAAAATTCCCATTATTTAACCCTAAAATTCCCATTATTTCCCCCCGAAATTCCCATTATTTAACCCCAAAATTCCCATTATTTAACCCCCAAAATTCCCATTTTTTAGCCCAAAATTCCCATTTTTTTAGCCCAAAATTCCCATTATTTAACCCCCAAAATCCCCATTATTTTACCCCCAAAAATTCCCTTTATTTACCCCCAAAATTCCCATTATTTAACCCCAAAATTCCCTTTTTTTACCCCAAAAAATTCCCCCTTTTTAGCCCAAAATTCCCATTATTTAACCCCCAAAAAATCCCGGTTTTCCCCCCTCAAAATTCCCATTATTTAACCCTCAAAATTCCCATTATTTACCCCCAAAATTCCCATTATTTACCCCCAAAATTCCCATTATTTCCCCCCAAAATTCCCATTATTTAACCCCCAAAATTCCCATTATTTCCCCCCAAAATTCCCATTTTTTATCCCCCAAAAATCCCATTATTTAACCCCAAAATTCCCATTATTCAACCCCCCAAATTCCCATTATTTAACCCCAAAAATTCCCATTATTTCCCCCCAAAATTCCCATTATTTAACCCCCAAAATTTCCCATTTTTTAGCCCAAAATTCCCATTTTTTACCCCAAAAATTCCCATTATTTATCCCCCAAAATTCCCATTATTTAACCCCAAAAATTCCCATTATTTAATCCCCAAAATTCCCATTTTTTAGCCCCAAAAATTCCCATTATTTAACCCCCCCAGAAATCCCCTTTTCCCCAAAAAAAATTCCCATTATTTAACCCCCAAATTCCCATTATTTAACCCCCAAAAATCCCCTTTTCTCCCCCCAAAATTCCCATTTTTTACCCCAAAAATTCCCATTTTTTTATCCCCAAAATTCCCATTTTCTAGCCCCAAAAATTCCCTTTATTTACCCAAAAATTCCCATTATTTAACCCCAAAATTCCCATTATTTAACCCCAAAATTCCCATTATTCAACCCCCCAAATTCCCATTATTTAACCCCCAAAATTCCCATTTTTTAACCCCAAAATTCCCTTTTTTTCCCTCATTTTTTTCTCTTTCCCCCCCGCAGCCGCCGTGCCCGCCAGTGACGTCACCGATGACGTCATCGCTGCCCGCTTACGTCATTTGGCCGCCGCCCGCCATCGTCAGCCTCGGGGGGCCGCGGGTGGCGCTGCTGGGGGGCGGCTTTTGACCGAAAACCGGGAATTTCCACCCAAAAATCGGGAATTTCTAGCGAAAATTAGAATTTGTATCAAAAATCGGGAATTTGTAACCAAAAATTGGGAATTTGTACCCAAAAATCGGGATTTTAGAGCCCAAAAATTGGGATTTTAGAGCCCAAAAATCGGATTTTTGACCAAAAATCGGGAATTTGTACCCAAAAATCGGGAATTTGTACCTAAAAATTGGAATTTGTACCAAAAAATCGGGAATTTGTACCAAAAAACCGGGATTTTAGAGCCCAAAAACTGGGATTTTAGAGCCCAAAAATCGAGAATTTAGAGCCCAAAAATCGGAGTTTTGACTAAAAATTGGGATTTTAGAGCCCAAAAATCTGGAATTTGTACCCAAAAATTGGAATTCGTACCTGAAAATTGGGAATTTGCACCCAAAAATCGGGAATTTGTACCCAAAATCGGGATTTTAGAGACCAAAAATCGGAAATTTGTACCGAAAATTGGAATTTGTACCCAAAAATGGGAATTTGTACCCAAAAATCGGAATTTGTACTGAAAATCGGGAATTTGTACCAAAAAATCAGGAATTTGTACCCAAAAATTGGGAATTTGTACCCAAAAATCGGGATTTTAGAGCCCAAAAATCGTGATTTTAGAGACCAAAAATCGGATTTTTGAACAAAAATTGGGATTTTTTTAGCTCAAAATTGGGATTTTAGAGCCCAAAATCGGGAATTTGTACCGAAAATTGGAATTTGTACCCCAAAATCGGGATTTTAAAGCACAAAAATAGGATTTTTTAGCCCAAAAATCGGATTTTTTAACCAAAAAATTGGGATTTTAGAGCCCAAAAATCGGGAATTTGTATCAAAAATTGGAATTTCTACCGAAAAATCGGGAATTTGTACCCAAAAATTGGGATTTTAAAGCACAAAAATTGGGATCTTAGAGCCCAAAAATCGGATTTTTGACCAAAAATTGGAATTTGTACCTAAAATCGGAATTTGTACCCAAAAATCGGGATTTTAGAGCCCAAAAATCGGATTTTTTACTAAAAAATTGGGATTTTAGAGCCCAAAAATCGGATTTTTGAACAAAAATTGGGATTTTAGAGCTCAAAATTGGGATTTTACAACCCCAAAATTGGGATTTCAGAGCCCAAAAATCGGGAATTTGTATAAAAAATTGGAATTTGTATCAAAAATTGGAATTTGTACCGAAAATCGGGAATTTGCACCCAAAAATTGGGATTTTAGAGACCAAAAATTGGGAATTTGTACCGAAAAATCGGATTTTTGACAAAAAATCGGGATTTTAGAGCCCAAAAATCAGGATTTTAGAACCCAAAAATCGGGAATTTGTACCGAAAATCGGAATTTGTACCCAAAAATTGGGAATTTGTACCAAAAATCGGGATTTTGTACCCAAAAATTGGAATTTGTACCCAAAAATCTGATTTTTGAACAAAAATTGGGATTTTTTTAGCCCAAAATTGGGATTTTATTAGCAAAAATCGGGAATTTCTACAAACATTTATACACCAAAATTGGGATTTTTTTATAGCCCAAAATTGTGAATTTTGACCAAAAATTGGGATTTTTATAACCCAAGATAGAGAATTTATAGCCCAAAATTGGGATTTTTTTTTTTACTCAAAAATTCCAATTTTTAACCCAAAAATTCCAATTTTAGAACCCAAAAATCGCATTTTTAACCCAAAATTAGGATTTCCTCGCGCCTTTCGGACCCAAAATAAAGATTTTTAACCCCAAATTCGTGTTCTGGGTGGAGAAAATGAAATTGGGGAATTTTTTTTTTTTTTGGGACCCCAAATTTGGGATTTTTAACCCCAAAAATGGGAAAATTCCGGGGCCGGGGGCGGGGCCAAAATCGGGTGGGCGGGGCCAAATAAAGTGGGCGGAGCCAAATGCGGGTGGGCGGAGCCAACCGCGGGAGGGGCGGGGCCAAATGTGGGGGGGCGGAGCCAATTTGGCGCCATTTGGGGGTTGGGAATTTTGGGGATTTTTGGGGAATTTTTGGGGATTTTTGGGGATTTTTTTGGGGATTTTTGGGGATTTTTTAGGGTGGGGGCGGGGCCAATTCGGCTCCATTTTGGGGGTTGGGAATTTTGGGGATTTTTGGGGAATTTTTGGGGATTTTTGGGATTTTTTTAGGGTGGGGGAGGGGCCAATTCGGCTCCGTTTTGGGGTTGGGAATTTTGGAGATTTTTGGGGAATTTTTGGGATTTTTGGGGATTTTTTTAGGGTGGGGGCGGGGCCAATTTGGCGCCATTTTGGGGGTTGGGAATTTTGGGGATTTTTTGGGGAATTTTTTTGGGAATTTTTGGGGAATTTTGGGGATTTTTTGGGGATTTTTGGGGATTTTTTTAGGGTGGGGGAGGGGCCAATTCGGCTCCATTTTGGGGTTGGGAATTTTGGGGATTTTTGGGGATTTTTTGGGGGATTTTTGGGGATTTTTTTGGATTTTTTTAGGGTGGGGGAGGGGCCAATTCGGCTCCATTTTGGGGTTGGGAATTTTGGAGATTTTTTGGGGAATTTTTGGGATTTTTGGGGATTTTTTTAGGGTGGGGGCGGGGCCAATTTGGCGCCATTTTGGGGGTTGGGAATTTTGGGGATTTTTGGGGAATTTTTGGGGTTTTTTGGGATTTTTTTAGGGTGGGGGAGGGGCCAATTTGGCGCCATTTTGGGGTTGGGAATTTTGGGGAATTTTTGGGGATTTTTTGGGGAATTTGGGGATTTTTTAGGGTGGGGGCAGGGCCAATTTGGCGCCATTTTGGGGGTTGGGAATTTTTGGGGATTTTTGGGGATTTTTTGGGGATTTTTTTTGGGATTTTTTTAGGGTGGGGGCGGGGCCAATTTGGCGCCATTTTGGGGTTGGGAATTTTGGGGATTTTTGGGGAATTTTTGGGGATTTTTTGGGGATTTTTTGGGGAATTTTTTTGGGGTTTTTGGGGATTTTTTTAGGGTGGGGCGGGGCCAATTTGGCGCCATTTTGGGGTTGGGAATTTTGGGGATTTTTCGGGGGAATTTTTGGGGATTTTTTTGGGATTTTTGGGATTTTTTAGGGTGGGGGAGGGGCCAATTCGGGTCTATTTTGGCATTGGGATTTTTGGGGACTTTTTGGGGATTTTTTGGGATTTTTTAAGACGGGGAGAGAATGGGGAGAAATCAGGAAAATGAGGCGAAAATGGGGAAAATCGGGAAAATGAGGCAAAAATTGTGATAAATTAGGAGAAAATGACATAAAAATGGGGAAAATTAGGGGAAATGAGGCAAAAATGGGGAAAATCAGGAAAATGAGACAAAAATGGTGATAAATTAGAGGAAAATGACATAAAAATAGGGAAAATCATGGGAAATAACATAGAAATGGGGGAAATTAGGGGAAAATGAGGCAAAAATGGGGAAACTGAGGCAAAAATGGGGAAAATCAGGGAAAAATGTTCCAAAAATGGGGAAAATCAGGGGAAATTAGGCAAAAAAATGGGGAAAATCAGGGAAAATGACATAAAAATGTGGGAAATCAGGGAAAATGAGGCAAAAATGGGGAAAATCAGGAAAATGAGGCAAAACTGGGGGAAATTGGGAAAATGGGGCAAAATTGGGATAAATTAGGGGAAAATTACATTAAAATGTGGGAAATCAGGAAAATGACATAAAAATAGGGGAAATCAGGGGAAATGAGGCAAAAATTGTGATAAATTAGGGAGAAATGACATTAAAATGGGAGAAATCAAGAAAATGAGGCAAAAATGGGGAAAATCGGGGGAAATGACATAAAAATGGGGAAATTAGGGGGAAATGAGGCAAAAATGGGGAAAATGAGGCAAAAATTGGGAAAATCAGGAAAATGAGGCAAAAATAGGGAAAATCAGGGGGAAATGAGGGAAAAAAAAGGAAAATGAGGCAAAAATGGGGAAAATCAGGACAATGAGACAAAAATGGGGAAAATCAAGGGGAAACGAGGGAAAAATGAGGAAAATGAGGCAAAAATGGGGAAAATCATGGGAAAATGACATAAAAATGGGGAAAATCAGGGGAAAATGAGGCAAAAATGGGGAAAATGAGGCAAAAATGAGGAAACTCAGGGAAAAAAGTTCCAAAAATGGGGAAAATAATGGGAAAAATTACATTAAAATGTGGGAAATTGGGGAAAATGAGGCAAAAATGGGGAAAATCAGGGGAAAATGACATAAAAATGGGGAAAATCAAGGGAAAAGTTACATTAAAACTTGGGAAATTGGGGGAAAATGATCCAAAAATGGGAAAAATCAGCGAAAAATGAGGTAAAACTGGGAGAAATCAGGAAAATGAGGCAGAAATTGTGATAAATTAGAGGGAAATGACATAAAAATGGGGGAAATTAGGGGAAAATGAGGCAAAACTGGGAGAAATTGGGAAAATGAGGCAAAATTGGGTGAAATCAAGAAAATGAAGCAAAAATGGTGATAAATTGGGGGAAATGACATAAAAATGTGGGAAATCTGGGAAAAATGTTCCAAAAAATGGGGAAAATAATGGGAAAAATACATTAAAATGTGGGAAATCAGGGGAAAATTATCCAAAAATGGAGAAAATCAGGGAAAATGCGGCAAAAATGGGGAAAATCATGGGAAAAATACATTAAAATGCGGGAAATTAGGGGAAATGAGGCAAAAATGGGAAAATTTGGGATAATGAGGCAAAAATTGTGATAAATTAGGAGAAAATGACATTAAAATATGGACAATTAGGGGAAAATGAGGCAAAAATGGGGAAAATTATGGGGGAAATGGGGATAAAAATGGGGGAAAAAGGAGGGAAATGGGAAAACTGGGTCAAACTGGGCCAAACTGGGCCAAACTGGGCCAAACTGGGCCGGGCGGGAGCGGCTGAGTCAGAGCGTGGCGGGATTAGCGCGATCCGGGGAAACTGAGGCAGGAGCGGCCCCGCCCCGCCCCCACCGCGGGCGCGGCCACAAAACCCGCGGGGACGGAGCGGAGGGACACGAGTGACAGCGGGACACGAGTGACAGAGGGACACGAGTGACAGCGGGACACGAGTGACAGCGGGACACCATGGGACACAGGTGAGGGGAAATATGGGGGGAAATTTGGGGGAAAATTGGGGAAAAATTGGGGAAAAATAGGGGAAAAATTGGGGGGAATATGGGAAAAAATGGGGGGAAATTGGGGGGAAATAGGGGAAAAATTGTGGGAAATATTGGGAATATTGGGGGGAAATATTGGGGAAAATATGGGAAATATTGGGGGGGAAATATTGGGGAAATATTGGGGAAAATATGGGAAAAATTGGGGGAAAATTGGGGGAAATTGGGGGGAAATATGGGGAAAAATTAGGGAAATATTGGAGGGAAGGGAAAAATAGGG